TTTGGTTTTTCGAGACAGAGTTTCTCTGTAGTCTTGGCTGTCCTGGAACTTACTTGTAGACCAGGCTGACCTTGAACTCACAGAGATCCACCCACCTCTGCCTCCTGAGTGCTGGGATTAAAGGCGTGCGCCACCACCGCCTGGCTTGGAATGGTTAAAGAGTGTGAATTTTTTTTTTTTTTTTTTTTTTTTTTTTGGTTTTTCGAGACAGAGTTTCTCTGTGTAGCTTTGCGCCTTTCCTGGAACTCACAGAGATCTGCCTGGCTCTGCCTCCGGAGTGCTGGGATTAAAGGCGTGTACTGCCACCGCCGCCACCACCACCACCACCCCCCGGCAAGAGTGTTAATTTTTTATGTTGGACTGAATGTATTTTGCATAATGAGATGGCTGTGAATCTTTTGGGGGTGGGTTACAAGGGAAGGAAGGTGATGGCTTTACAGCTAAGTGTGTTTGTGTGTCAAGTTGACAGGCAGTGGAGTTAGGATGGTTACTGTTGTGATGTGGAGTTATGATGTTATGAGTTAGGATGTGGAGTCATGTAGGAAACTGTCTTTTAGGTGCACCTATATCGGATTATTAGATTGGGTTAATTGAGGTGGGATGCCCCCTTGGCTGTGGCTGGGGTCCCAGATGGTGAGAAGGAAGAGAGCTGAGCCCTGTCATTCCTCACTTTCTGCTTCCTACTGCAGATGCAGTATAACCAGCAGCCCCAGGTGCTCCTACAGACTGCCCCACAGTGACGGACCACACTCCTGAGCCAGCTTCCTTAGCTGCATGACCGGCATTTGTCACAGCAACAAGACAAGTAACTGACACAGGATAGAACAGGATTTATCAGGCAGATTAATAAATCAGGTTGTAAAGGATTTGACTTTCCAAACTGGGAGAATAACCACCTATAAAGTACCATTTCAGTGAAAATCATTGACTATGAGGCCTTTTTAAAAGAAAAACTGTTTATTACATTGGTTTTTCTGCAGCCAGATCACTCTCACCTCCTGAACTTGGAATCGTGTACATGCTGTGGAGTCAGGGTCAGAGCTGTGTGGCTCCAGAACCCAAGCTCTTGATGAACCAAACAAGGATAAGTGAGAAAACAAACCAAAGGCACCCAGAGCAGAAGAGGGTGGAGAACAGGAGGGAGACTTTGATGAGAAGTTTCCATGGAGCCACATCCTCACCGTGGGGCTCTTCAAACAGCTGTACATATTACTTATTTGTGTGTGTGCGCGCGCCTGTGTGAGAGCTTGTGCATGTGCATGTATGGCCCACAGAAGCCAGAAGACATCTGATCTCCTGGAACTGGAGTTACAGACAATTGTGAGCTGCTTGCCATGGGTACTGGGAATAGAACTTGGGGCCTCTGGAAGATGAGGCAGCACTGCAGGAGTGGGTGAGGGTGTATTGTGAGTGTGTGTGTGTGTGTGTGTGTGTGTGTGTGTGTGTGTGCAGGCCAGAGGACAGTTTGCAGTTGCTCCTTTTCCTTGCACTTTGTGGTTAGGGCTTGACCTCAGCTCCGAATTTCAGATTTTACCTGGTGTCTTAGTTACTGTTCTGTTGCTATGAAAAGACACTATGACAGCTAAGGCAGCTTAGAAAAGAGAGCGTTTAATTGATGGCTTATTTACTGTTTCAGATGGTGCTTCCATGACTGTCATGGTGGGGAGCATGGTAGCAGGCAGGCAGGCATGGCACTGGAGCAGTAGCTGAGAGCTTACATCCGGACCAGAAATTGGAGGCAGAGAGTGAGACTGGGCCTGGCATGGACTTTTAAGACCTCAGAGCCCACCTCCAGTGACACTCTTCCTCCTTAACAAGGCCACACCTCCTGATCCTTCCCAAGCAAGTTATACCAACTAGGGACCAAGCATTCACATACATCTGTGAGGGCCATTCTCAATCAAACCACCACACCTGGATAACAGGGCCTCTGGCCACTTAGTTAACCTAGTTCAGGATTCAGCCTCCTTGCAGGTTACTTAGGAGGGTTTACTCAGCAGTCTTTGAGAGCTACAGTAGCTCTCCATGCTGCCCTCCCTAGGACAAGTGTGAAACCTTTTGTGAATAATGACCTCCAGGCAAGACAGAATTTTTAACAACTTGTCATTGAAACAAAGTAGGACTGTTGAGGTGGCTGGTCAGGTAAAGAAAGGTGTTTGCTGTTAAGCCTGATGACCTGAGTCTTATCCCTGGAAGTCCAGAGGGTAGATGGAGAGAACAGACTCTTACAAATTGTTCTCTGACCTCCATGTACGGCATGGCATGGCATACGCATCTGCTCGCATTTATACTGCAGGAACAAATAAATACTTTTTTTTTTTTTAGGTATTTGATCCTTGCCTTGCTCAGCTTCATTTTACTGCAGGACCAAGTCTTAACACCATTCTTGTTAGGGGCATTAGGGAGCCGTGACCATTGAGAGTTGATAGAAATGGAGAAAGAAGTAGCAACCAGAAAATGATAGCTAGGTTGTCTTCATCCTAAATTGTCCATCTGATAGGTCAGCTGTAGTTATCCAAAACTGGTGCCGGGGCTGGAGAGATGGGGTGGGTCAGCAGTTTGCTCGCTGATCTTCCAGAGGACCCTTGTCAAGCAGCCTGTAACTCCAGTTCCAGGAGATCGGATGTCTTCTGGCTTCTGTGGGCCATACGTGCACATGCACAAGCTCTCACACAGGTACACACACACGCTCTCACACAGACACACGCGCACACACACAAATAAGTAATATGTGCAGCTGTTTGAAGAGCCCCACGGTGAGGATGTGGCTCCATGGAAACTTCTCATCAAAGTCTCCCTCCTGTTCTCCACCCTCTTCTGCTCTGGGTGCCTTTGGTTTGTTTTCTCACTTATCCTTGTTTGGTTCATCAAGAGCTTGGGTTCTGGAGCCACACAGCTCTGACCCTGACTCCACAGCATGCACACGATTCTAGGTTTGGGCTGTGAGGGCAATCTAATCTGCCTTTATCTGTCACCCCATTGATAGCCAGAGTTGATAAAGTGGCTCTGGCTGGTCAGGCAGGTGTCCCCTTTCTTCTTCTCTGTGCTGTGTGTGTCCGTCATGGTTGAAGGGGACGGCTTTGCTCTAACATGAGGACTGCTCTTTGATAAGGATAGCAGTAACTATGCTGTCCTTAGGTCTCCAAACGAGCTCCGAGGATTCTGGGGCCAATCCCTAGTACTCTTCTCTTTTTGTGGGGAGTGAGGGGAGTCCAAGGTTTTGAATGGTATGTCCTGCCCTGTTCAGCACTTTTATACTAAAGGTGTATGTGTGGAAATACCTGTCTGCATATGTGTCGTGTGATAGGAGTCACACACAGAAACTAACAGCACTGCTTGCCTGCAGAACTGCTTGAACTGCCCACTGTTTGTGGGACTGTTCAGTGGTGAAGACTTCGCTTGTTATGTGAAGGGTTGGGTGCTGTTTCTACCATAAAAAGGAAACAGGGCAGGGTCTGATTAGCCCCTGAAGGATCCGGGACTTCCAAGAGTGAGCTGATTGCATTTCAAGTCCATGCTTTTCTCTGCAGTCACGTCAGAATGGCCTGGAGCCCCATGTGCCGGGTTGGGGAGGAGTAGAAATGTCATAGTCTACCTGGGTTGCATTTCCTGGTACTAAAGCCAAACTGGATGGGCCTGACATGGCCACTCCTACCCTCCTTGCCAACTTCCTGTGTTGCCACTTGCAACCTCCTTTTCCACGCTAGTCTCTGAGGGAAATAAGGCTGTTCCTGTCCAGGTTTGAGTCTTGAGGTTGGTCCCAGTGCTCTGCAGGTGGCTTACTGCCAGGTTAGACATCCCCCTGTCATTCCACCAGTGCCCAGACCTGCTGATGCCAGCCTAGTATCCCTCTGTTGTCCTGGAGCACTCTGTAGATCCAGAATTCCTGTGGCGCTTTCCTTCCTTCCCCCAGCAGCTCCCTCACCATGACTGCCTGGGCTACTGTCCTTTCTCACATGAATTCACCCGCTGTCATCCAGCTTTCCATGGCTTCCTGAGGCTGCCGAGGTCAGCTTACACTAAGGCAGCCCAAGAAGGGGTGCTGATCTGTTGCTGGTCATTGGATCATCATTGGGGCTCCATCTGGTCCACAGTCTGGGTGTGGTTCCTGTTCCCACCAAGAATAGTTAGGAGCATCCTCCGGAGCCCAGTAGAAGCCCAGGCATACCTGAACTTGCTATCCTGTAGGGTAGAAGGGACAAGACTCAAGTTGTTAACCAACAAGCCGTTCCGTTGACATGAGAGCACCCCTGGGGGCTGTGCATGGCAAAGACCAGCTAGACATCTTAATGAGGTTGGGGCAACACACATAGGGCCCAGGTGTGTCTCTGAATTGCATCTGGGCTGCACACTGAGGCAAGGCCTTGTGCTCCAGCCCATTTCATTTCACCTGAGTGAGTTTGGTAACCACAAGAGGGCTTTGTGTAGCCATCTCTCCCTCCAGGCTGTCCATGTATAATGTCAAGAACAGCAAATGGGAAACTAACCAGTGCGAAGAATGGCCCTAGGAAATAATGACCTGTTCTGAGATTTGCAGAACTGAATAGCATCTTCTGAGCAGACAGTTAGGGTCAAGTGTGTCTTTAATCACAGACCTCCACCTGTGAGAAGGCACCCGCTGGCCTGCACTCACCCTTCCCACGTGTGTACTCCTCTCCCTTCAGCTCCAGGCATGGAAGATGGCCTTGGAATATGTGTCTTAAACCCAGATCAGCTGGTTTATAATACTTTTTTTCGTCTGTTGCCTGGTTTTTTGACTTGTGCAGTAGGCTGGCCAAACCTTTTGCGTGGTCACACTGTCCTGACTCTAAGGAGACTATACCACAGTGACAGAGGACAAAGTCGTGTACTAAGGCATCCTTTTTGGAAGGATCTGGGCTGAGGAAAAGCCAGAATGTGGAACTTCCTTTGGCCAGTGAAGTTTGTCTTCACTTAAAATCAAGGTTTTCCTGGACACATGAAGAAAATTTCTTTTTCTCTCTCCTTTCCTTGTTTTGTAGGTTCCTGAAGGCTTCAAGGAAAAGCCAATTTAGGGAAGGCTCCATGGCCCTAGGTGAAGATGTGGCCGAGGCAGACGCATCTGTCAACACGAAGGTCCCATCCTGTGGCAGGTGGAACTCCGGGGAACAGGAGCTGCTGCCCCCAGGACTTGAGCCACAGCAGCCCCTGCATCTGGAAGTCAAGGGAGGGCCGCCGTGGAGGGCTGAGGCTGATACCTGCTGCGTCTCTGGAGTTTTCTGGTCACAGGCCCACACTGCCAGCGGAGAACCGGTGGCACATAGGTCTGAGCCTGCCCTCAGTGGCCCACTTCCTTCTGCCAGCATGGAGACTGGAGACTTTCATCTCTCCGGAGGAAGCCACGTAAGTACTGAGGAGTTGAGGCTGGAACTGAGCCAGGGCAGCCTTTGGGTATGCACTGTATTCCCTTGACTGTTCCCTGCCTGTCACTGTAAGGTGAGAGTTGTGGGACCCTGGCTACAAGGTGTTTAACAGGTTCCCTTGGAGAGTTGGGCCTTGAAGTCAGCAGGGGGTTCTGTGCAGTATCTCCTGTTCCGGAATCACTGGGGACCTCTTAAGGACAGTGAGAGTTCATCAGGGGCCTGCTGCCCAGAGGACTAGGGTCAGGGACCTCTTAACAAGGGGACCCCCATCCTGCTTCTGATTTGGTGATCTGAAAGCTCCTAGGGGACCCTAGGGAGACTTGGTAGAGGGCTGTGGGTTCCCAGGCCAAACCCTCTTGGGACTGCTCAGACCCTGAAGCTCCTTTAATGAGCAGCAGCATCTCTGGCCTCCGTGACTGGAGACCCCAAGGTAGCAGTCTCTCCGTGAGAGCCACACAGGCAGAGAATCCTGCCATGCCCTAAGGCCAAAGGCAGGTCTCTGAATCTTTGAATCCCTTGTAGTGGGAGAATGACCAGTGGTCTGCTCCTCTTGGCTCTGACAACATCATGTTCAGCCTGTCAAGGTCCAGGGACAGCTTTGATTGGTGCTTTGTTCTTTGGCTGCTGCTTGCTCTCTTCCGGGAGCCCCGTCCTGTGAGAAGGCTTGAGCGTGACTGGGAGGGAATAGTACCTAGCCCACCTGTTGAAAGCAAGGGTCAAGGAGGGCCCTGGCACCTCTAAGTCCTGTTTGTTGGGTCAAGAAGCAGGTCAGCAAGCCCGGAAGTGGCTGCTTGTCAAGAGAGGCTGTGGTTTCTGTTCTCTTGTCTGCTAGTGAGGGGCTCTTAGTGTTTTCTCAGTGAGTCCTTGGGGAGGCAGTGCTGGTGCTGTGTCCACAGGGCAGGGAAGGCAAGCTCTCTCTCAGTTGAACTTCTGGAAGGTGGGACAAATAGTTCGTTAACATCGGGTCAGTCTGGTTCCGAAGTCCTTATGTTAGTTATTGTCTTCCTCTGGGCTCAGTTACTCACCGAGATTAAAAATCCAGAGTAAAGAAACTGAGGGACTCACTTTGCCAGAGTGCACGGGCATGTGGGCTGAACAGGGTGCCCCCTGGTGGAGCCTGCTGGATCTCCTGTCAGTGGTGATGGTGGGGGGGTGGGGTGGGGGGCTGGGAGGGCGGGGAGATGAAAGGAGAGGCATTGATTCCCAGCTTCTGCATGCATAACTGGGTTCTGCTCTCACAAAGTGAATGGATAACTTTTGAAAAGATGGGTTCGGGATCAGTTGCAGATTTCCCAGGGTAGGATGGGTCTTGGTACTAACCACTAGCAGCAGGAACCTGAGATCTTGCCTGAATACTGTTCTGGACACACAGGCACATCTTGTAGTCATCTGTCTCCCCTTCCTTCCTTTGTTTTCTCAGGTAAGTGTACTTAGTAGGAGGTTTGGCCATAGGATCCTTAGACCTACTTTGTTTTCACTGAGACCTACCCCCACTCCCTTCTCTCTACCTCAAAGAAGAAAACTGTTCTTTTAAAAAGAAAGTCTGCTTATTTCCACCTCAGTGCCTTTTCCCTTGTTATTGTAGATGGAGGAAAACAAGCTTCCTGCCTCCCAGGACCTACTTCAGAGGGTTAAAGTCCTTGGAACTATAACTGTTTGCTCAGGGCATGATGCGGACCGAGAAGACGACCTGTCCCCAGTTGATTCACCTCAGGTGCTGGGCCTCAGCCAGCAGCTTCACATCTCACAGGGGAAGTCCATGGAGAGCCCAGGTGCTCCTCAGCTCTCTGGCAGAAGCATCTCTGCCTCCTCAATGGGCACCAGCCTCCAGGATCACCAAGAGAAGGCAGAGCCTCAAAGTAGCGCCTTTGCCAAGGTCTCCTCTCAGGAGTTGATTGTACCTCAAGGAGCCCCCTCTGTGGTGGGGACAGGGCCTCAGCCCCTGTGGTCACCACAGCCTGTGCCTCCTGGGGGTGATGCTACTGGCCTGGGTAAGAGACAACTCTCCTTTCAGACAGAGTACTGGGCCTGTGTGCTGCCAAATTCTCTGCCTCCCTCTCCTAACCGCCACTCCCCACTCTGGAACCCAAATAAAGAGTATGAAGATCTCCTTGACTACACTTACCCACTGAGGCCTGGGCCTCAGCTCCCAAAGCAACTGGAGCGTCATGTGCTGGCTGACCCTGTCATGCAGGACTCGGGTGTAGATCTGGACAGTTTTTCTGTCTCCCCAGCGAGCACTCTCAAGTCTCCCACTAATGTCTCCCACAACTGCTTATCAGCAGAAGGACCTGCTCTGCCCTTTTCTGGAGCCAAGGACCCATGCCTTAAGCGTTGGCCTTTGGGAGTATCCCAGAAACAGGACAGCATAAGCCTGGCATCTTGGAACCAGCATGCATCAACCCCTAGAGCCTCAGGCACTGAGAATGCTTCCTGGGAGAAGAGAGAGGCAGCCCGGAGGGACACAAAGGACTCTCCACCTACAGGCAAGAAACTCAGTGTGGGCTCTCCCCAGCTGAGGAAAAAGGAGAGGGGGTTACCCTTTCCCAGACTACAAAGGGAGAAGAGAGCCTGCCAGAATGTTGGGCATCCCTCCCGTGTGAAGCCTGGGTGGACATCAGAAGAAGAGATGGGAAGTGATGATGAGTACCTTGCCCTGCCCACCAGGCTGACTCCGGTGTCTAGTTTGGTGTCCAGCTTAGGTGCCATTCCCACCTTCGTGAGCCTCCCCACTGGGGCTGCTGAGGAGCACAGTTCACTGGAAGTCTCAGACAGTGATGGGCCAGTGTCCCCCACATTGGACTCCAGCCAAAGGCAGCATCCTTGTGGTGCTGCCTTCCAAGGGCCTGTGGTCCAGAACCCCTGCTTCGTGAACTCTGTCCATCCTGAGGACTCCACAGGCAAACGTCGCATGATGAGCAGCCAGGCCCTCGGGGTCTCTTCTGGACTGCTGAAAACGCAACCCTCCTTGCTAGCTGCATCAGACAGGTGGCTGTTCTCAGGGCCAGTCGCTGGAGAGAAGCTTCCCCGGAACACAGGGCAGGAGAAAGCATCACTGGTGCAATGTGTGCAGGTAAAGATGCTCAGTGAGAAGCTTCTGGAATAAATGTTCTTTCCCCAGTCCACCAACAGCATGTCTCAACATCCCCAACATACCCCCCCCCCCCCCCCAAATACAGGGATTCTCCTTTAATGGTTGTAAGAAGATGGCAGAGAAGTTGGGTCACATGTAGCACCAATGTTACGTGTGCCTTGGTGATAAGGAAGTTGATGCACACTTTTTCACTGTGGTGCAGGAAGTTAGAACCCCTCATTCATCATGTGACAGCTTTCTGAATAGAAAGTTTAGTGGTTGACAACAGTCCTGTATTTGTGGAAATATTAAGGCCACTCCACGTAGTTAAAAGGGAGGTTTATTTTGTGGGGTAACTTACAAGTGAAGGGATAGGTTACAGGGTTCAGGAAAGGTGTAGTGCAGTACAGCGGTGTTCCCTGGAGAACTCTGCTTGGTCTACCTCCAGCATCCAGGGACCAAGAGAGCTGGCACATCCGGATCTCGGGTCTTACGGCTCCTCTCTCGGCCCCGCCTCGTAGGCGTGACAGTTACCGGAAGCCTCAATGGGGGTAGTACTTCCAGGGCAAAGCTGGAACAGCTGCTCACTACAGTCCTGATCCAAAAACTGGTTCGTGTGGCGAGCGTGCTCTTCTCGGCTGCTCCTTGTCCCTGTTCCTCCATAGTTCCATTCTCACCCTCAGGACTGTGTATTCTGAGCCTTTGTTTTTGGTGTCACCTGGCTGAGTATGGCATTCATTGTCCTGACGGGACGTCTGGAGTCATGGGGTAGAGGTGGAGACAAATGACCCTGTGAGAGAAAACTCTAGAAAGATATCTGTATGCCAAAATGGTGAGATTTCTAGCATTCAGACAAGGTAAACAGCAGCTCACTCAGGTGCACCATGTGGACATTGTTTTTGTGGTACTGGGCCCTGAGCATGGTAGACAGACTTAATCACTGAGCTCTGTCCAGCCCACCATGTGTTCTTGTCTCCACAGACATTTTGCTGTCAGCTGGAAGAGCTGATCTGCTGGTTGTATAGTGTCACAGAAGTTGCTGACCTCAATCCTCCACCCAGGGCCACTCTTACGGGTCTCAAGGCTTCTCTGCAGCTTTACCGGGTAATGTGTGGTCCTGGCTCCTGGCTTGCTCGCGCCTGAGACGGAGGTTAAGTCACTTCTTACAAAATAAAATCTCAAGTAACTGGACTCTTGTAGCTCAGTTGACTATTTTATCTGAATAAATCTAATCAAGATGCCTTCTTCAAATTCTAAATTTTGAACACTATAAAGTGAGTGAACTTCCAGACCAGATAGAGGAAAATTATATTTGTCTTGAATCAGAAATACTTTGGAGGGATTTGCATGGTACTTAGGCAGATCTCTCAGCGTTAGAACCCTAAGTCTGGCATTTACAGACAGTAGTCACGGGTGACGATCCAGTGACGTCACATGTGCACCACAGCTGTGCACTGGCTGCCACACAAGGCAGTGGAGACACAGATCCCATCAGCATCACCAGAAGTTCTTCTCGACTGGATTGGTACTTTTGAAACAACTATACTGAATCCAAGCATAGACCAGGCAGTGTGATAGGATAGGACAGATTTAAGCCAAATTTAACCCAAAATCTGACACCAGTTTGTGCCTGTGTTTGGGGATTAGGATTTTATTTTATGCCTGTTATTGAGGTCTGTTATTTCAGACCTGTGAATTTTAGTTAATGATACTAAAGTATATTGAAATGGAGAGTAATTCCTGTAACTGCTACCTCAGGTAAACGTGGCTGACTTTGACCACATGGTGGCAGTGTGTGTGGTCCAGACCTGCTGCTAGTCTGGCAGGGAAGGGGAACCCAGATCAGATCTCTGTAACCTAACACTGAGTCAGCAGAAGAGGGTGAGATTGACAACCAAGTTCTGACTCAGCGTCATGGGGGCCCACACCTCATGGACGGGAGGGCCTTTGTGTTCTGCCTTTGCAGTCTACTAAAATCTAGCCTGGGCTGGCCAGCTGTCCTGCCGTGGCAGGAATGCTCCTAGATACAGCATAGAAATAGAGAGAAACTTGAGGAAGGAGAGGGAGGCTGAACCTAAAGATTCTCTTGTTCAGACACAGCCGGTCTGTGCCTGCCTGGAGGGAGCCCTTGCCTCAGGGAGCCTCAGGGAGAGGAACTGCTCTGTCTGACTTACCTCAGTAGCCTTTCCTGGCCTGACTGAACAAGCATAAAACTTCTCCATCTGAGCCCTCGTGACCCTCTGTGACTGACTAACTTCTAAGTAGCCATCTACAAGCATCGTGCATTGTAGCCAGCCAGGACCTGAGCCAGGAGCTGTTCCTGCATGTCAGTCAGGCTTAGGCCTCTGTGTGGACACAGCTATGTCAGCATGCTCACACCTTCCTCGGAGTGGGACAGGACTGAGGAAGGAGCTCTCTTGGCTCTTGCTTAGACCAAGACTGAGTGCTCAGATTTGTGTGGGCTCTCATTTTGACCAACCCACACCCTCTCCTTTCTGTCCCTGTCCTCACTCTCTGTACCTGTCCTCTCTCTCTGTCCCTGTCCTCTCTTTCTGTCCCTGTCCTCACTCACTCTCTGTCCCTGTCCTCCCTCACTCTCTGTCCCTGTCCTCACTCACTCACTCTGTACCTGTCCCTGTCCTCACTCTCTCTCTGTCCCTGTCCTCACTCTCTCTCTGTACCTGTCCTCTCTCTCTGTCCCTGTCCTCACTCTCTCTCTGTACCTGTCCTCTCTCTCTGTCCCTGTCCTCACTCACTCTCTGTCCCTGTCCTCCCTCACTCTGTCCCTGTCCTCACTCACTCTGTCCCTGTCCTCACTCACTCTGTCCCTGTCCTCACTCACTCTGTCCCTGTCCTCACTCACTCTGTCCCTGTCCTCACTCACTCTCTGTCCCTGTCCTCACTCACTCTGTCCCTGTCCTCACTCACTCTGTCCCTGTCCTCACTCACTCTGTCCCTGTCCTCACTCACTCTGTCCCTGTCCTCACTCACTCTCTGTCCCTGTCCTCACTCACTCTGTCCCTGTCCTCACTCACTCTGTCCCTGTCCTCACTCACTCTGTCCCTGTCCTCACTCACTCTCTGTCCCTGTCCTCACTCTCTCTCTGTCCCTGTCCTCCCTCTCTCTCTGTCCCTGTCCTCACTCACTCTGTCCCTGTCCTCACTCACTCTGTCCCTGTCCTCACTCACTCTCTGTCCCTGTCCTCACTCTCTCTCTGTCCCTGTCCTCCCTCTCTCTCTGTCCCTGTCCTCACTCACTCTGTCCCTGTCCTCACTCACTCTCTGTCCCTGTCCTCACTCACTCTGTCCCTGTCCTCACTCTCTCTGTCCCTGTCCTCCCTCTCTCTCTGTCCCTGTCCTCACTCACTCTGTCCCTGTCCTCCCTCTCTCTCTGTCCCTGTCCTCACTCACTCTGTCCCTGTCCTCTCTCTCTGTCCCTGTCCTCACTCACTCTGTACCTGTCCTCACTCACTCTCTCTGTCCCTGTCCTCACTCACTCTCTGTCCCTGTCCTCACTCTCTCTCTGTACCTGTCCTCTCTCTCTGTCCCTGTCCTCACTCACTCTCTGTCCCTGTCCTCCCTCACTCTGTCCCTGTCCTCACTCACTCTGTACCTGTCCTCACTCTCTCTGTCCCTGTCCTCCCTCTCTCTCTGTCCCTGTCCTCACTCACTCTGTCCCTGTCCTCACTCTCTCTGTCCCTGTCCTCTCTCTCTCTCTGTCCCTGTCCTCACTCACTCTCTCTGTCCCTGTCCTCACTCACTCTCTCTGTCCCTGTCCTCACTCTCTCTCTGTCCCTGTCCTCTCTCTCTGTCCCTGTCCTCACTCACTCTGTACCTGTCCTCACTCACTCTCTCTGTCCCTGTCCTCACTCACTCTGTCCCTGTCCTCACTCTCTCTCTGTCCCTGTCCTCACTCACTCTGTCCCTGTCCTCACTCACTCTGTCCCTGTCCTCACTCTCTCTCTGTCCCTGTCCTCACTCACTCTGTCCCTGTCCTCACTCACTCTCTGTCCCTGTCCTCACTCTCTCTCTGTACCTGTCCTCTCTCTCTGTCCCTGTCCTCACTCACTCTCTGTCCCTGTCCTCCCTCTCTCTGTCCCTGTCCTCACTCACTCTCTCTGTCCCTGTCCTCACTCTCTCTGTCCCTGTCCTCACTCACTCTGTCCCTGTCCTCACTCACTCTGTCCCTGTCCTCACTCACTCTGTCCCTGTCCTCACTCACTCTCTGTCCCTGTCCTCACTCACTCTCTGTCCCTGTCCTCACTCACTCTGTACCTGTCCTCACTCACTCTGTACCTGTCCTCACTCACTCTCTGTCCCTGTCCTCACTCTCTGTCCCTGTCCTCACTCACTCTGTACCTGTCCTCACTCACTCTCTGTCCCTGTCCTCACTCTCTGTCCCTGTCCTCACTCACTCTGTACCTGTCCTCACTCTCTGTCCCTGTCCTCCCTCTCTCTCTGTCCCTGTCCTCACTCACTCTCTCTGTCCCTGTCCTCACTCACTCTGTCCCTGTCCTCACTCACTCTGTCCCTGTCCTCACTCTCTCTCTGTCCCTGTCCTCCCTCTCTCTCTGTCCCTGTCCTCACTCATCGTCGGCTGTGCTTGTACTTCATCTTAACGCAGTGGACTTGAGGCAACATCTAAACTACCTGGAGCACAGGAGGATAAAGTTTGGGGCACAGGAATACTGAAGACAAATCCAAGAGTAGAGTCAGCACCCTCAAAATACTAAGCAGTGAGGTCTGTCCTGGGTCACAGTTCTTGCTGGCTAAAGAAAGGTTTTTTAAAAATTAGCTACAGCTGACGTGGTGGCACAGGCCTTTAACCTCAGCACTCAGGAGCCAGAAGCATGCATAGCTCAGAGTTGTGGCCAGCCCAGTTTACATCGTGATTTAGGACAGCCAGGAATGTCTTAAGAAAACAAAAATAAAAATCAGCAACGATGTTTTGTAGCTGTGAGGGAAAACCTGCTTGGGATGAGTTTTTAGTAAAACATCAGCTTCCCTGGTGCCGAGGTGTTGCTATAGAGGTCCCCAGAAAAGGGGCATAAAGGTAAGGCCCCAGCTCTGCGTGGCCAGTGCAGTGTGACAAACTGTTCTTACCTACCATGGTCACTCTAAGGGTCGATCCCCTCCTCTGAGTTAGAGAACATGAAGTGGGGTACAGAATATAGAGTCCCACTCCAGCCTGGGCTTGATGGTACAGGGCTAGGACCCTGGCACTAGGGAGGGTAAGGAGGAGGACTCTGTAGAGCAGCCTGAACTAAATCAAGACCCTGTCTCGGAAAACAAAATCCGTGAATAATTTTCCATGGACTCAAAGACGCTGCCCCTAGACTAGTCCACTGGGGGATTCAGACTGCACGGTGGCTGTCTTCCATGTCGAGAAGTCAAGTACTAGGGAGAGAGTTCATTTCAGACGACTTTTATAAGCAATAGTATTGAAACTTTTTTTCTTTCCTGATGTCTTCAGCAATTTAAGAAAGATATAGACAAACATCAGTCCCTGACAGAAAGTGTCCTGGAGAAGGGAGAGACTCTTCTTCAGTGCCTGACGGATAACACCCCAGGTGGGTAATCAAGAGCTTTGTTTGCTTGTTTATTGACACATAATGTACTTAGCTATGGGTCCAGTGTGATATACGTGTCCACTGTCTGTGGCTATAAATTGGAACATGCCTTTCCACTGAGTGTGTTAGAGCAGCCCTTAGGAATTCAACCCATTCATCTACTAGTGAATTTTAATATAAAAGTCTGAATTAGTCAATATAAAATTAAAGATGAAGAGCCAGGCATAGTGGTACATGCCTTTAATCCCAGCATTTAGGAGGCAGAGCTGTCTCTTAGATTCCTGGCTAGCCTGGGCTGATAGTTCCAGGACAGGATGGGCTGCATAGTGAGACCCTATCTATGAATGAATGAATGAATGAATAACAGAAAGGAAAGAAGGAGGGAAGGAGAGAGAAGGAAGGAAGGAAGGAAAGACAGAGAGAGAGAGAGGGAGAGGGAGAGAGAGAGAGAGAGAGAGATGGATGACCATCAGGAAGAACAAACTAGGCAGGAACTGGAAAGACAGCCTAGCTATTGTGAGCACTGTGACTCCAGCTCCAGGACATCTAGTGTCGTCTTCTAGACTCACATGTGCACATACCCACACATGGATTCACACATGTACACATTTGTTAAAAACTGGCCACTGTTACAGCAATTGAATTTAGAATGTGGTGGCACCCTTATTTTCTCAGTGTAGAATTCTTACTAGCTTCAGTTGATCCTGCTGCCATCTCTAGTCTTGGGATGACCTCCAGACTGCGTCCCGCCAGCGTGTGTAGTCTGTGTCCCTGCTGTCATTTTGTCTGTTCCGTACTAGCCATTTTAACTGGAGATTAGTCAATGTAGTTTTCTTTCCCACATGATTAGTAATACTGAGCCCTTTTCACAGGTTTGTCGGCCTTTCCTAACATCCTCCTCTTGTGAAGTATCTCGGTCATTCAGCCATTTCTTTTAATCAGATGACTAGGAAAAAACTACTCCAGTCGTTTTGTTTTGTCCCTGGATGCTTAGTTTTTGAGACAGCTTCTCTCGATGGCTCTGACTAACCAGGAACTCACTGTATAGGTCCGGCTGGCCTTGAACCTGCAAGGAGACCTGTCTGTGCTTTGAGTCCTGGACTACAGGCTTGAGCCTGCAGTTTGATTTGGAGAGACAAGGTCTCCTAGCTCCTAGCCGAGTAGCAGTGTTTGATTCCTGTATACTCTGTGGGTTCCTGACTTTGGTCGGGTCATCAGGCGCAGCAACACCTTTGAGACCTACTCTGCTGCCTTGCTGGTCCTACAGTGCTGCTGTTTGCTGCTTTTTTTTTTTTTTTAAATACATGGTCTCACTATGTAGCCCTGGCTGTCCTGGAATTGACTAGGTAGACCAGGCTGGCCTCAAACTCACAGAGAGGTGCCTGCCTCTGCCTCCCGAGTGCTGAGGTGACCGATGCAATGCTCTTTTGGTTTGGTTTTGTTTGTTTGTTTTCTTTTTTTGAGACAGGGTTTTTCTGTGTAACTTTGGTGCCTTTCCTGGAACTCACTCTGTAGCCCAGGCTGGCCTCGAACTCACAGAGATCCGCCTGCCTCTGCCTCCCGTGTGCTGGGATTAAAGGTGCACCACCACCGCCCAGCCTACAATGCCCTTTTTAAGAAAGACTTATTTTAATTTTTAACTATGCGTATATCTGTGTGAGGGAAATGAATATGAGTACAGGTGCTCTTGGAGGCCAGGACATTAGATCCCGAGTGCTACAGCTGGATGGGAGCAGCCTAATACAGTGAACTCAAGTGCTGTGGAAGAGCTATATGTGGTCCTCATCACTGAGCCCCTGAATGTCTGTCTGTATTTGCTTGAGGTGTTTGTTTTTTGTTTTTTTCCGGAGCTGAGGACCGAACCCAGGGCCTTGTGCTTGCTAGGCAAGCGCTCTACCACTGAGCTAAATCCCCAACCCCGAGGTGTTGTTTTTAAATGTGTGTGCGTGCCCAAGTGTGTGTGTCTGTGTACCACATGTATGCAAGAATATGTGGAGGTCAAAAGAGAGTGTTGGAGTTAAAAGGTTATTGTGAGCTTCCAAGCAGGTGTTAGAAGCCAAACCTGGTATTCTCCAAGAGCAGTAAGTGTTCTTAACCATTTCTCCAGCCTTGAGTGTTGTTTTTGGTCTTTTGTTTGTCTGTTTGAATCCACTGCTGAGAGATCAAATCCAGGGCCTTGAGGATGCAAAACAGATGCTACCACTGAGCTGATCTCCAGCCTTATGCTTCAAGTTTCACACTTAGCCAGAGCTCGGCTCTTCTGTTACAGGAATGTGCACAGTGAGTGCCTAAGGGAGTCCCACAGAGAACACCTGCTGGCTCCCGACATCACTGTCCCTCCGGACCCTGCAGAGCCAGTGGGAGAGTTACTTACGGGCATAGAAGTAAGCCTGGGCATAGAAGTAAGCCTGTCGCCGGGCGGTGGTGGCGCACGCCTTTAATCCCAGCACTCGGGAGGCAGAGCCAGGCGGATCTCTGTGAGTTCGAGGCCAGCCTGGGCTACCAAGTGAGTTCCAGGAGAGGCGCAAAGCTACACAGAGAAACCCTGTCTCGGAAAATCAAAAAAAAAAAAAAAAGAAGTAAGCCTGTCAAAGACTAGGCACCAAGTCTACAAGGAGATGTATTCTTTATGTAGTGTGGGAGGCCCCTTCCACCCTGTTTTTGAGACAAGGGCATAGGCATGCTTCCCCTGGATTCTTCCCCTCTCTGCCTGCCTGCCATCTTGCTGTACCCCCATATTTTCAACTTTTTTACATAGCTTTCAAGTATCCAGTGAGATTGTCAGGGCTGCACAAGCATGCACTTTCTTCTCTTCTGAGCTGTTGTGCCAGCCCTCAAGAAACGCATTCTTTTGCTTTTGTAAGTCTCTGGTGATGTTCTGAATAAGTGTGTATGTGTGACACAGTCCAGGTGTGTGCAAGGCACAGACGGAGAGATCAGATCTGAGAGCTGGTTCTCTCAAAACCAGGTCCTCGGGTTTTCTCAACAGTGATTTACCCACCCAGCCATTTCACTGGCCCAGGAATCAGAATTCAGTTGTCTCTGGGGTCGTCAGTGGGAGCCCTCAGATTTCCGAGTTAGCTCCAGTTCAACTGGCAGGTTCCTCTGTTTGATATTCTGCTTTAGGGAAGGGTTTCTGTCAACAAAGCATCGATCATAGCAGCTGTAGACAGTTACTGCTCAGCCTCAAAAGGGTTGAGACCAGCCTGGGCTCCTGGGTCAAAAAAAAGAAAAAGAAAGATGTCAACAGTTTGTTTTCAGGGACAGACGGGTTTAAAAGAAATTTATTAGGGGAATGAGTGGGGATATGATCAGAATACATTCTGTGAAATTCACAAAGAATAAAAAAAAATTAAAAATTAAACTGAAGCTGGACAGTGGTGGCACACACTTTTAATCCCAGCACTTGGGAGGCAGAGGCAGGCGGATCTCTGAGTTCCAGGCCAGCCAGGGCCACACAGAGAAACCCTGCCTCAAAAACCAAACCAAACCAAAGGAATTAAACTGACGAGGAAGGCAGGCTGCAGTTGCTTACAGACCAGACTCAACCATCTGCAGGACAGGTTCCTAAGTTAGCAAAGTGTGAGAACTCCAAGAGGATTGAACTCTTGGTGCCCATCTGTGTCTTCAAAAGCCTTGAAGTGATGGGCCCCCAAGTGGCCACTAACGTCCCGTAGTAGTACACAGGTGGGTGCTTGAAGAACTCATATTCTACCCCAGTTCCAGAGAGGTGGCATTCACAGGGATCAAATGGCATAAACAACCATGATGACCCCAATGTAACTGTTGGAGAAGGTTTTTCAGGCTCAGTGCCACTGCCACACAGAGAGAGCTGTCTAATTCTTTGTTGTAGGGTTCACATGTATCGCAAGATGTTTGTAGCACAGAAGCCCTCACACCTCCACAGTGCCAATACCCTAAAACATTTCCAGACAGTGTCAGTTGTATCCTGGGGAAAGTGAACACATGGAGAGGTTTTGATGGAAAGCAGCCACTAACAGGTCTCCAGCAGTGTGGACTGGTGAGCCCTTTGCCTCCCCGCTTCTCTGAAGGCCTGTTGTGAATCTCCTCCTGTGTTGTCTTACATAGGATCTTTAGGGGGTTTGTGGCTAAGCCTGAATGGTGTGTTTAACTGTGTATATGAATGGTGTGTGTGTGTGTGTGTGTAGTGTGTACAGGTCAGGTGATAACTGTGGAGTTAGTTCCCTCCTGCCCTTACACTGGTTTTAAAGATTGGACTCCAGGCTTGTGAGGTAAATCCTCCACTCCCTAAGCCATCTCACCAGCCCCAAGTTTTCCTTTTTCTATTGGGGCAGGAACTTGGTGCAGTGAGTTTTCCTGCCTCTGCCTCTGCTGGTGTTTTCAGCAGACACACTTACCTGAGTCTAAAGACGCAGGGCCTGAGCAGGAAGAACTTGGTACAGGCCTTCTCTTCACAGGGGCCACATGTCATGGAAGTCTTCCTAAACTGACTGTTCTGACTTTCCCTTGGAAAGAAATCTATTAACACTCCACTTTGTCCTACTCTGAGAAAAGACTCAGGGGTGTCTTACTGGCCAGAGACGTCTGGATTTGGGTCTCAGACATGAATCCAGGCTCCTTCAAATTGGTACTCTAACCCCTCCCAAGTCTCTGCCTGGAATAATTGGAGCCCTTAGCTGTTTTCCTGAGTCTCAAGTTCCTCTTGACACTTCCTACTTCCTCCTCCCAGAAGCAGCATCCTGTCACTGTACACACACACACACACACACACACACACACACACACACACACACACACACACACACACCACTGCTTTTTCAGAGCCTGCTTTCTTACTTGGCTACAAATATAACCTTAGGCGCGTGACTGCAGCTTTACTCTACCACCAAGAGGCCCCCATGCCAGCACCCCACCAAAGGCATTTTGACTATTATATAAATACAAGCTGACATTTTGTCTTATACTCAAACTGCTTATGAATTACGTGACTGGAACCCATGGGAATTAAGCCAAATGAGTCCCCATATTAACTAAAGCAACACACACACACACACACACACACACAATCACACCAGGAAAACATACCTGTCTCGTTCCCCTTCCTAGCCTTTCTTCCGTAACCTGTTTAAAGTTTCAAACAGAAGGCCCCCAGGACCCCACTGTGGCACACAGGAGACTGGACAGAGCTTGGCTCGGCCGCCCTGACAGCAGTCCTCTGGCATCAGCTCTCCAGTTGTCAGGACAGCACTTGGCCCTCACGTGCTTCCCAAGGCTGACCTCAACACACCCAGCCTGCTGTTCCTTCCCTCCCCGCCCATCTAGTCCACATTGTGCACAGAACAAAGGCTTCCTTCCCCTTTCTTATCCTCCGCTGGCAGATGGTGCTCTAGGGCAGGAAGCTAGGGAGCATTTAACACAGCTGATTGAGCACAGGAAGCCAGCCGGGTAGTGTTTAACAAAGGAAGGGGCTGCCATACGTACCCTGCCATGCAGGAGTGAATTTAGCCTATCTCACACCATTGCTCCAGGTGTGGTCACTGATTCCCTACACCCCCCAAATCTACAAACTTCCCCAGGACGTTACTTAAGCCCGTGGAGCATCACTGTTTAAAAGGAGAGGCGGACGGGGAATGTGGCTCAGCTGGTACAGTGCTTGACTAGCTTGCATGAAACCCTGGGTTCAGTCCCCAGAACTGCACACACACGTAGAGTAACACACGAGTTCCAGGTCATAGTCAGCTAGAAAGCAGGTTAGAGGTCAGCCTGAGCCACATGAGACCCTGTTGGGGTAGGGAAGGAGGCACTGTGAACTACTACAATCCTGTCTGAGCAAAGTGCTACACCTTTTTATTACTTGACCATTAGTTTTAAAGGATGTCCTCGGGAGGATCGCAAAGCAGTCTGGTGAGCTGGAGAGCCAGGCGGATCACCTTTATGACTCAATCTTAGCCTCTTTGGACATGCTGGCTGGCTGCACCCTCATCCCTGACAACAGACCAACAGCAGCTAAAGAACACCCGCGTGAAGGACTTTAACTCGGTAAGTAGAAAAACTCAAGAAGCTGCTGCCCAGCCACTGCTGACTGGGACACACGGCTATCCTAGTAAGTACTTGCTCCTTAGCAGCTCACTGGGGCAGTTGGCACCCTTGCCAGGAACGTGGGACTTCCTGTGGTGGGACTCACTGTGGTTCCACTGTGGTTCCATGTGCTTGCTGAGGAGCACCCCACCTTCCCACTTCTGTGAGTTCTCTTCACCACTACTCCACCCTCCATAGTAGCAGCAGGAACCCTTACCAGCGCCGTTTCCCTGCAGGTACACTTCTCCAGTGGGGGGCTATGGTCACGTTGCCTCTGCCCTGTAGGCTCATCTCACTGTCTCCAAGCATCATTGACAACACAAACATCTACGAAAATCCAGTTAACTGCCAGCTCTCTACCCCACCCCCTTCCCACAGAGGATCTTTGCAAACCTCACACCAACCACATCCTTCCCCAAAGACTGGGGACGGTACATCTCAGAGAGTTGACAACTACTACTCATTAAGTACACTTTCATCTTACCCCTTAGAAAGTCAAACTGGGGATGAATAGGAAAGAGGCCAAGAGAACAGGAGGGTCACCTGGTGCCTATGCTCGGATCTCTAGCTCTTCAGAACCCCACAGTTCTACTGTACTTTTCCTAGACCTTTCTCTTTTACAAAATGTTTATCAATGAAGATGTCTCAGTGAGCATATGCTGGAAGTATGTCCAGAGCAGACTCCAGCAGGGAGTGGGGGGTGTGGTGCGGACTTGTAATCTCAGCCCTTTGGAGGCTGAAGCAAGAGGACTCAGAGAAGCCAGCTGGGCTGTGTGCCAAGACATCTTTAAAACAACAGGAGTGCACGGGGACTGGATTTGCATCAGCAGTGGAAGCAGATGATGGGCGTTGACCTCTTCCTCGGCAGCCTGCCTGTAACCCTGGCTGCCTTCTCTTTCAGGCATATCCCGGGCGGAGATGGAGTCATCAGCCAAGTGGGCTCTTGGGAAGAAAACTCAAAAACTCGGAAGAGCCGTTCAACCGTGAAGGCAGGGGAGAGACTCAACTTTAACGTACTTGCTTTAAGATGCCTTTTCCATCTCTGAAGGTTCTTGAGTTACTGTTCTCATTACAGTGAATCCCTCCAAACTAAGGCTTTTCCTTTTGGTGCTTCTCTACCAAAAATACATGGCTTTACGGTGTTGATAAAATACTAGGATTTGCGGGTCTCATGTACCCCCTTCTGTTCAAAAATCAGCAGTTAAAACATGTTGAGGTTCCAAGTACTTGGAATGGATTCTCAGGTGTACAAGGGGATGTTGGGTCTAAGAGTGAGGAAGTGGGTGATCAAACCTTGGATCTTCATCAAGTGCAGACTGGAATTTTGTACATTCTGAAGATTCTCAGCTAGCAGACATGTTAGCCTTTAATCTGCCACAGAGACACTCAAGTCAGTAGACCCTCTACAGAGCCCTTTGGACAACATGACAGCAGGGGCCATCTTTAGTGGTTAGGCTCTACCTTCTTCCTTAACTATTGTACGAAAATGCATCAGAGAGCTGGAGGCTGGTGTCATGCTTCTGGAAGGGAACGAAGCAAATGGTCAAGCTTTTGCTTACCTCTGGGGCACTCGGTCGGTCCTCTGCTCCACTTTCCCCTGGAAGACTAGACAGAGGAAAGGGATGGCTACAGCCACTGTCTGTCCTTCCAGACATTAGAGCAGCCTGTGCTGATGAGAAAAGAGGAAGTCTTTGTTTCTTGGGAGTCAACCGGTAGTCTAGCCTTGTCGGGGGAAAAAAAATCCATGGATCAGTAGTTCAAAGCATCAGTTGCAACTTTTGAAGCAGAGTGATTATATTGCTGGTTACCACAAATTCCACAAAGTATCAAAGATGGGTTTTTCAGCTTAAAAACAAAAACAAAAAGATTTTAAAAGATTAGCTCCTTAGACAGATATGGTGGTGCAGACTTCAATCCTAGCCCTTGGAAGGATCTTTTGAGGCCAGCCCGGTCTGTATTAGAGTTTCAGGCTGGCCAGGGCTATAGAATGAGAAAAAGATTACTACTTGGTAAGCTATACATACATGAAGTACAGTGTTTTCACATGCCTGCTGCCCAGCTACACAGTATGGCTTATGGTTAATGTTTATGGGCAAGACCCAAATTAAACTGTTCTGATTCTGCCATCTGAGTCAAGCTTAGTTCCTACATTGTACATGGTGAATAACGTGCTTTCAAAAGGCAAAAGGGAATGCTTTTCTAGCTATTGAGAATTGGTTAAAAATCAGTACACTAACTATTTGATGTGGCTTTAAGTTGCCTTCCCATCAGTATGTTAGAGCAGCCCTCAGAAAGTAAGCCCATTTAACAGGCCTGAAAGTCAGTGAGCATGAAACCTGAGGATGGCAGGACCTACAGAACAGAGGTGCCCGCTGGATGCAGTGAGGTGCTCCTGTTCTCGTCAGTGTAATTAGTCAGCTCAACTGACATGTTCATTTTGGAATACACAGTTTCCCAACAAAGCACTACCTTGCCTGAAGATGGTCTATGCATTTGTTCATCCTCTTTGTAACAAAAAGATACTTTTTTTGTAACTAAAAGGTGCAAACTCTGACCTTGGCTGTGAATGCCACTTAGGAATATCAACACAATTGTTAATTATATCTTCTGCTGTGTGTTAAGAACTTTTGAGCTGAAATTGTCTCAGCGTAGGATGATGCCATCATTTCCATGTGCAAATGTGGCCAGGGTAGATTGACATGACCATGATAGGATTTATAAATGGTCCCATAAAGTTCATTTGCGTTCACAATAAAGTAGCATTTCAACGCAGGGTTCTTGAGGGTCTACAGCTAACCTCCAGCACAAAACAGAGGCTTCAAAGACAGGGCTGTTCTTAAACAGAGCCCAAAAGAGGAGTGGGGTTGCAAGGTATGCTGAATGGCCAAGTATGTACTTGAGGGGACGTCTACCCAAGTAAGCACAGCAAGTCTGTGTGAGCCCAGTGACTACTGTTCGTTCAGGATTCCAGCCATGGCCACCGAGTAAAATGTTCTTCATATTATGCAAGTTACTGTGTGGTAGCCACTTTTTATTTCTAATATAGTATTTCTTTGTTATGTCAACAAATTAAAGCCCCCAGTGGTCTTGAAATGCTTATACTTGAAAAATAGGATATGTTCCCCCCCCAAGACTGCATTTATTGGCACATACATAAAAGCAAATAGTGAAGTGTGCTGAAATGGTGTTGTAAGCCCTAATCTTGCTGCCTGTGGTGGAAAAACACTAGAATTTTACAAAGTCTGTAAATATGTTTGTATTATAAATAAATGTTTCCTGCTAATAAAGAATAAGCCGACAGTTTGAACAACTTTTGCTGTTGTAAAATTAAAGTGCATGGCATCACTTTGTCTTATATTGTTTTTGTATCATTTAGTTATTATAGAAAACAGTTTATGAACTCTTTCTCCCTTGGTATTGACAAGGAAAAAAACCCCAACAGTGACAAAATATATGTATGTATGTGTGTGTGTGTGTGTGTGTGTATATGTGTGTGTGTGTGACCCATATAATTGCTGGTGATCTCAGGAATTTCCAGTTGCCTTATCTTATATAAGGACGAATAGACCCAACAAGCACATCTATAATACAAAGTAAACTATGATTTTATTGTGAAATTCTCATAGATGGAAAATTAAATTGAATATTTATTCTGTCCATTTTCATTTTACAATAATCTTACCACTTATTTTTGTACCATGTATTTCAATCGTCTGTTTAGTGAAAAATAAAGAAACCTGTAATTTTTGGCTTATTTTTAGTTTAATATTTTATCATTAAAGACCCCATAATAAAATGTGTTGTCAGCAGTCACATCCTAAGCCCCCAATTGAATGTTTGGCTGCTGCTTAAACCAAAGGAAACAATCTCTGACCTCTGTCACCTTAAATGCTAATGTCCGCAAGAGACTTTGTTTCCCACAGTAAGACAAAAGCAAAGTCTAGGTCTCAAAGGTCCTAGTTAACAAAACTTTCACACATGCAAAAATTTCACCGAAATAAATATATTATTTCTCTCATCATTCCCATCTAGAGTTCATGTTTTCAGTTAATTTGGGGGGATATAATTTCTACAGTTAGGGCGATCAACATTTCCTGCTTTCTTTTCTAATGCTTAAACTCTCCTCCAACTTGAGTTATACAATTGGAAAGAATAAAAAGTTGACACCTGGAAGTGGAGGCAGGAGGATCGGGAGTTCAAGGCCATCCTTGGTTACAAGTGGAAATGAGGCCTCTTGAGCTACATGAGACACTGTCTCAAAAAACAGTGCAATCTGGGTATTGTGGTACATGCCTTTAATCCTACCATTTGGGAGGAAAAGGCAGGTGGATCTCTATGAGGGGCCAGCCTGTTGCACATACTAAGTTCCAGGCCAGCCAGGGTTACATAGTGAGACCCTGTCTCAAAAAAAAAAAAAAAAAAAAAAAAAAAAAAAAGAAGAAAAAGCCAGGCATGGTGGTGCATGCCTTTAATCCCAGCACTTGGAGGCAGAGACAGGTGGATCCCTGAGTTCGAGGTCAGCCTGGTCTACAGAGCAAGTTCCAGGACAGCCAGGACTACACAGAGAAACCCTGTCTCGAAACGCAAAAAAGAATCCCCAAACCAGGGGTGTGGGGGGGGAGGGGGGGAGGTGACATCTGACTCAGCATGGAGGAAGCACCAGCACGGATCACCAGCTCACTGCTTGTGAGGAGGCATGTGCTGCTCTCCATCTACCACAGATGCATGAAAAAAGCGTTGCCTGGGAAGCCTCTTCAGATGGGTCTAGGCCTGGAGATGAAGTGCTAGGAAGCAGACACTCTAAACTTGTTTCCATACAGTGTGAGCTCCTTGAACCAATGAGGCTGGTTCAGTGTACACAGCACAGAAGCTTCTCTAGGTCACTGAGCAGGCCTAACACTAGAAAGCAAGTACTGGATGCTGTGCTCTTAGTCTACAGTGCCCTTGTTGCACACATAAATGGCTGTTGAGTATAATGCAAACCTCTATTTCCCTTTAACCATAAGAATTAAAACAATACTTATCACCATACAGTTTGATATTACTTCCAATAAGTACAATATTTATTAAACATATCTTCAGTTTTGTTACATAGTGTGCAACAAATTACAATATTCTGCAGCCACAAATTATATGCAGAGTATGAAGAAACTATTAATCAGATAGTGTAATCTTTCCATTTATAACTCTACAAGGAAGAACTAGCAAATCAGATCTTACATATAACGTTTCACTAAACTTTATGCATGGAAATTGACAGACACTGGTTGTGCTGTTTGATACAAAATGGCTGAACTTCATCTTCAGAAGACTAAACCCAACATCTAAACATGCCAATATAAACATCAAAACAAAATATAGTCTAACCAACCACGGGAAACAATCTGGTATCAGGAAAGCAACAAGGATTACACACATTATTTTATAAACCAGCACACAAAGGTTTAAAACAGTTCTGAAAATGAAGTTAGCTGTCTTGAGTCAAGGGAATAAAAAAAAAAGTCAGTATTGACCATTGACAATCTCTGACCTTGTGGAAACGGTAAGAATCTGTTGTAGTGCAGCTACATACAGTACAATTCAGGCAATTTGTTTTTTCTCTTGGGTTCAGATTGCGAATTCATTGCTGTGAGAGAAGGACGGAGGCGAATTTTAGCAGCAGCCTCCACCTGACTGCTTGACTGGAGTGCTCTGGATTTTAACATTGGACTTCTCTGCACCACCAGCTGTCGCTCCAGGGCCCATTCGCTTTTTAATCTCAGCTGCCATCGTCATGAAAGACTGCTCTACATTCGTTGCATTCTTAGCACTGGTTTCCAAAAACGGAATTCCAAGGGAATCTGCAAATTCCTGAGAGTAATAAGAACAATGAACATTGGAGAAGAGCTTTCTGAAATGGGAAGGAAGGACTGAGTCACTGGCTTTCAAAGGTTGAGGCATCTTAGCCACTGTATGACTCCCGTCCCCGTAATGAAAGTGCAGGATGAACATCCACTCTCACACATACCTTTGCTGTTGTGTAGTCTACTACTTTCTTTGTGGTCAGGTCACATTTGTTCCCTACCAACAACTTGTTGACGTTTTCACTGGCATAGCGATCTATCTCCTGCAGCCACTGTTTAACGTTATTGAAGGATTCCTGAAAAGAGAAGAACGACGATGCAGTTTGTGTGGCAACCCTAGCTGCAACTAATGCAAGGGAAGCAATGGACTAATGCAGTACAATGACAGTGCCCATCGGAAGAAAAGGGTTAGGAGGACTGGAAGGCTTGAAATGAAAATAGCTTATCTGGAAGGGGAATTGTTTAATATTTCATGACAGGCAAACCCAATTTTAAATTAAAATTTTGAAATATTAACAAAACCTATTTTCTGAAATTTAGTAAAATTCTGGTTTATGAGCTGCATACAGCGATACAGCTTTAATTCCAGCACTAGGGGGCAGAGGCAGGTGGATCTCTGAGTTCCAGGCTAGCCTAGTCTACAGAGCCAATTAGCTGCACGAGCCAGGACTACCTTAAGTGAGATCCTGTTTCAAAACAAACGAAAATAACAACAAAAACTGTTTATGTTAACAGCAGTAAGTGTTACTACTATCAGAAACTGGTGGCCTGGGGGCACAGCTCAGGGACCGACAACTTGCCTGGCCTGAAGAAAGCGATGAGCTTAAACCCCACCACAAGATAGGGGAGGAGAAAGCTGGGAAATAACTTTTGGTGAGGCTTTTTTCTTTTGTTTTTTCTCATTTAAAATTATTTTATGGTAGGCAGGGAATGGTGGTGCATGCCTCTGATCCCAGTGCTTGGAGGGCAGAGGAAGGAGATTTGAGTTCAAGGTCAGCTTTGTCTCTAAAGTTCCAGGACAGCCAGAGCTACTCAGAGAAACCCTGTCTCAAAAAAAACAAACAAAATTATGTTAATAGACTAGATAATGTTTAAAATCAACATGTTCTGTTTGCTCTGGGTGTTTTTGAGATGAGGTCTTGCTATGCTGGTCTCAATCCTCTGTGCTTCTGAGAGCTCCCAAGTAGCCGGACTACAGGCATATGACATCACACTAATGTAGCAATTTCTTTTCCTGCTCATATTCACCCATCTTTTCCTTGTAAAAGCATTTAATCTAAATGTCTTAAGTTACTTCCAAATTGGCTTTAAGTTATAGATAGCTGAGATTTAACATTTGCTACAAGAAAAATTCGTTCTAATTTAATTTTTTTTTTTCTCTAGTGGTAAAAATAAATTTCTGATCAAAAGAAGTTACAGGGCTGATCAAAAGAATTCAAGGGCAGCCTGTCTACATAGTGAGTTCCAGGTCCACCAGAACTACACAGGGAGATTGTGTCGAAAATCTACACATACACACAAAGTAACTTCCTGCTTTGTTGAGAACACACACATTGTCTAGGAACTTCCTTACCTGATCTGTCACATCATAAACAACTATGATGCCATGGGCTCCTCTGTAGTAACTGGAGGTGATTGTTCGAAATCTTTCCTGGCCTGCTGTGTCCCACTATTAGAAAACAATCAGGAAAGGCAAACAATTCCATTAAAACAGGCTTGGAAAAGTACAGGAGAAAACTGTAGATTATTAGGATCTGACACAACAGTATTTAATGATTACATTATTAAATTGCATTGAAAGTATCAAATATGTTAAAGTCCAGAACAGAAAATAATGCCGACAATTTAGCTGGTGGTACTGATCCAAAATTCTAAATTCTTTAAGAACCAAAGCTATGCTAGGCAGTCGGTAAAAAGAAGAGTCCAGAGCCCCCAGCCTAGTCCTTCCTGGCTGCAGCGACTCATCCCAGAGCAGGTTGGTCTGCCATGCCCTAGTGGGACAAGGAGGTGGACTGCACTAAGAGGAAGAGCTCGATAGAGCAAGCACGGCACTGACCTGAAGCCTTAGGAAGTCAAAGATGGTGACCAGCAGGGGCCACGCTGAGCACGCAGGGAAGCCCTACTGCCACTCAGCCATGTTTGAGCCCAAATGCTGTGGGATGGTCTTTTTGTCAAGAGTGTTGCTAATTAGTCAATAAATAAAACACTGATTGGCCATTGGCTAGGCAGGAAGTGTAGGCGGGACAAGGAGGAGAATAAAGCTGGGAAGTGGAAGGCTGAGGCAGAGAGACACTGCCAACCGCCATGATGAGAAACAACAGCATGTGAAGATGCCGTAAGCCACGAGCCATGTGGCAAGGTATAGATTAATGGAAATGGATTAATTTAAGCTTTAAGAACAGTTAGCAAGAAGCCTGCCACGGCCATACAGTTTGTAACCAATATAAGTCTCTGTGTTTACTTGGTTGGGTCTGACGGCTGTGGGACTGGCAGGTGAGAGAGATTTGTCCTGACTGTGGGCCAGGCAGAAAAACTCCAGCTACACCCAAAGGCTTCGGGCAAGGTCAGGCTGCAAGCCCATTTCAAGCAGACCCAGGTTGTGGAAGCCTCCCCCCCACCCCACAGGGTACATGCCAGGCCTTACCCCCAGGCCCCAGGAACCCGTTAAGCCCTCAAACTTGAACCACCTTTGAAGTCCCTACCCCCTACCCCCCCACAAACACACACACACACACACAAAGAATAGAAAGATCAGTTGTCAGGGCTAGAAAAAGTGGTCCAAAGACCTATACTCCTTCATAAGGCAGTGTTACTCACTGCTAATGTAGTTTACAACACCAGAAAGCAATGGAAAGATCTCATGGCACCTACCTACCAGTCAGAATGACACTTACCCACTTCAAGTAGGTGCTATCTTTTTTTTTTTTTTTTTTTTTTTTTTTTTTTTTTTTTTTTGGTTTTTCGAGACAGGGTTTCTCTGTGTAGCTTTGCGCCTTTCCTGGAACTCGCTTTGGAGACCAGGCTGGCCTCGAACTCACAGAGATCCGCCTGGCTCTGCCTCCCGAGTGCTGGGATTAAAGGCGTGCGCCACCACCGCCCGGCGGTGCTATCTTAATGTGAGCAAAAATAATGTAAGGAAGATGTTTCTAAACACCTTTAAAACAAAACTCCGTTTTAAAAGTGGGTGAGGGGCCTGGAGAGATGGCTTAATGGTTAAGAGCACATAGTGGTCTTCCAGTGGACCTGAGTACAATTCCCAGCACCCACATTAAGTGATTCAAACTGCCCGTAACCCCAATTTCAAGGGCATCCAATGCCTCTGGTTTCTTCAAGCACATGAATTCATATACACATAGTTAATAATAAAAATAATTTTTTAAGTGAGGAAAGGCAGCAAGAAAACTCAGCAAAAGGTTTGCAAACCTGACAACCTGAGATCAATCCTTGGAACACATGATATAGAAGGGAAAAAAAACTATCAAAAGTTGTCCTCTGGACAGGTGTGGTTCATACCTATAATCCCAGCACTAGGGAGGCAAAGGCAGGTGGAGCTCTGTGGGTTCAAGACTAGCCTTATCTACACAGCAAGTTCCAGGCCAACAAGGTTTTATACAGTGAGAGACCCTCTTTCAAAAATGAAACTAAGGAAGTTGTCCTTCTAATGCATACAGGAATGAACACACACACACACACACACACACACACACACACACACACACACACACACACACACAATAAGTTTTGGTTTTGGTTTTTTTGTTTGCTTTTTGAGACAGGGTTTCCTGTGTAGCCCTGGAACTCACGTTGTAGACCAGGCTGGCTTCAAATTCAGAGATCTGCCTGCCTCTGCCTCCCAAGTGCTGGGATTAAAGGTATACTCCACCATTCCTAGCTGATAATAGTAATAAGTTTTTTAAAGACAAAAGTATATAACTCATTTTAAGAATACTTTACACTTAGGTTCTAACACCAAAAAGAAATGCTTACATCACTATATTATTGTTCTGAGTTTTAAAAAAGTATTAAGAATATCAAGAGTCAAATTCATTTTTTAAATTTAAAAAGGCTTAGTTTTAATAAAGACATCTGGAGCTGAGGACGTAGCTCAAGAAAAGGAGAGGTTGTGAATTTTTTAAAAATTTCTCCTAGGCAATGGTCATACACACACACACACACACACACACACACACACACACACACACACACTCTCTCTCTCTCTCTCTCTCTCTCTCCATTTTGTATATATGGGTGTTTTGCCTGCACATGTGTCTGTGTTCCATGCATGTGCAGTACCCTTGGAGGCCAGAAGAAGGTGCTGGATCCCTTAGAACTAGAGTTCAACATTAGTGAGTTGCCATGTGGGTGACGGGAAGTAAAACAGGTCCTCTCAAAGAGCATCCTCGGAGCCATCTTTCCAGCCCCCAATGACCTCTTGTAAAAAAAAAAAAAAAGTCTGTCTAACTAAATGACTCAATTACTCCACTAAAAGATAAAGGTAGGGCTGTGTACATAGCTCAGTGGTAGTAGAGCGCCTCGCACTGTAAGGTCATGGGTTCAATCCCTAGCAAAACAATCTCTCTGAAATGGGAGGACTAGATAGAAGGCATTAGTGTTAATGCGGTTAGATATAATGGGTTAACAGATAATAAAACATAGATGCATATCAATTATTCTGTAGTAAGTCATGGTTTTGTAAACTGGGCATGGTGGCACACACTTGTAGTCCGAGGAGCAGTCAGGAAGCAGAAGCAGGAGGATTACCACAACTTCAAAGCCAGCCAAGGCTACATAGTAAGCTCTTCTCAAAACACCCCCAGAGTCTGTAACATTAATATACTTCTAGATAAAAAAGAAAGCAGTCAGGTGTGGTGGTAGTGCACATCTTTAACCCCAGCACTTGGGAGGCAGGCAGATCTCTGAGTTTCAGGCCAGCCTGATCTACAAAGTGAGTTCCAGGACAGCCTTGAAGTTCTAGGGCTGTTACACAGAGAAATCCAGTCTTGAAAAACCAAAAGGAGAAGAAGAAAGAAAAGAAAAAGGAAGGAAATAATGACAAGGTTTAGCAGCTCCTTATCTAAAATAAAAAACAGAATCGATGTCGGCTGTATTCCTTTCTTTTTGTCCAAATTGAGACTGAGAACTCCAAAGACTATGAAGACGGCTGTTAGCACTAAGGAACTCGATGACAGATAGCCTCTGGGCCTCCCGACCGACCTGACAGCATCAGCGTGCCCCTCCTGCTCAATGTTCTAATCACTAATTCTGATAAAGACCTGGCCATCACCACTAAACATAAGTGAAAGGAAAAGACCTACAACACCTGGAAGGGAAAACAAAGCCCAGAAAGTTGAAATACAATGGCTTAAAGCACAATTTTGTGTTTAAATTTTTAAAACATCAATTCACAGAAGCCCCCCCCCCCCCTCACTCACACGCGTGCACATCTTCGTTGTGTGTGTGTATGGATGGTGTGTGCATGTGGAGATCTGAGGCTGAAGTAAAGTCTTCCTGGATTACTCCACCTTATTCATTGAGGCAAGACCCTCCCTCAGCTGAACCCAGAGCTCACTGACCTGACTAATAGTGCTCCAGGGACCCACTGTCTCTGCCTTCCATGGACTGGAATTAGAGGTGGGCCCCCAAGCCTACATGGCGTTTTGATGGGTGAATTCTGGTCCTCAGATGTACAAGTGTACACTATCTCCTGAACCATCTGCCCAGTCCATATGTACCCTTTACACACACACCCCCAAATGAAAACGAAGCAAACTTAAATCTTAGTACCTACACGACTAGGTAAAGCAAAGGTAAGCTCATGCTCTGCTTTCGTAATCTTCAGTGATTAGCAGTAAGCACCAGTCCCTGAAGTCCGAGAGAGAATTTTCCTTTGTTTTTTTACGTGTTTGAGTGTCTTGCCTGCATGAATGCCTGTGCACTACAAGCATGCCCGTGCACTGGATCTCATGGGGCTGAAATTAGGGAGGTGGTGTGCAGCCTGGGAGCTGGGAATTGAGCCCCCAGGCTCTTAGCCACTGCACTGAGCCATCTCCTCACACCAAAAGGGAGAAAAGTTTTAAGACATTAATTCACTTTATCTCACATCCTGAATCGTATTTTATTTTAGGAATCCCATTTTAGAAAAGGCACTTTAAAATGCAAGAGTAACTCAAATTCTAACAACAGTTCCAAAAAGGAACAACTGAGCAGGAAGAGGGGTTGATGACATCAATCTGAAGGGTAGATGCCACCAGAAAGGAATTACTCTGATTCACACAGCTTCTGATTCACTCAGAGGAATTCCACAGAAGTTAGGACACTGGCTCCAGCTCAATTTAAAAAACAGAGAGCTACAGCCATTTGTGAATGGAAGCAGCTGCTTTTGAAATTGGTGAATTTCCCAAATATGTTTACATAACAGCATCAGATATGGAAAGAAAATTCCTGCTAAAGATGAAAGGCCAACTGAGAATAATCTGCAAGAACCTTTCCAGACAAAGGAAGTGAGCAAATTCACATGTTTCACATATCTAAATCCTGTAGAGAATCACCACCACCTATGCAACTGGTACCCAGGCTGCAGGCTTGAGTGGACCTTTTCACAGCAGTGTTGACTTCCTGCCTGCACAGGGCATATCACAGAAGCCACTGATATGCTGTCTCCAAGGTCACAAAGGGAAGGAAACACACACAGCAAGAGCCATGTGATCCTCAAAACTACCTTATAAACTAGTAAACCAGGAAATGGTGCTGGGGCTGGGCACACACCTCTAACCCCAACACTTGAGAGGCAGAGGCAGGTGGATCTCTGAATTCAAGGTCAGCCTGGTCTACAGAGTGAGTTCCAGGACAGCCAGGGCTACAGAAACATCCTGTTTCAAAAAAGACAGACAGACAGAAAAAGAAGAAAAAAAAAACCAGACTCAAAAGAGTACTTTTGATTCAAAACTTCAGGACTTCAGCTCAGAGAAACACTCAATTCCATGAAAAGCGCACTGACTACTCTTCAGTGTTACTTTCTACTAAGCCTGCTCTACGACATTCTGATTTTTAAAAACTAAAACCCAACTTAAAAGACAAACAGTAGGGCTGGAGAGGTGGCTCAGTGGTTAAGAGCACTGACTGCTCTTCCAGAGGACCTGGGTTCAATTCCCAGCACCCACATGGCAGCTCACAACTGTCTGTAACTCCTGTTCCAGGGTACCTGGCACCCTCACACAGACATACATACACTAATGCACATAAAATAAAAATAAATTCTTTAAAAAAAAAAAAAACTATTTACTGATTCTCTCTTCCTCCCCCCCCCCCCCCCCCCCCCCCCCCCCCCCCCCCCCCCCCCCCCCGTGTGTGCGTGTGCATGCGCGTGCATGTGATGATATTCACACTGAGGACACCCTTGCCATGGCACACACATGGAGGTCAGAGGACAACTTGCAGGAATTGGTTTTTCCTACCACTACCCAGGTCCTGGGGATCGAACTTAGGTCATCAGGCTTGACTGAGCTATCTTGCTGACCCCATGATGATTTTTTTCTTTTTTAAAATCACAGAGAAGCTAGCAGTACCCAGACCCACACTAAAGAGATAAACATTTAATTGGAGGTGGGTGAAGAATGGATAAGGTAGTTAAGATGACACAAAGAAACATATTAAAGATGGAGAGCTATAGATCGCTTGGTTCTGTCAGTAGCTTTAGGCAAATCATTTTTTCTCTCAGCATCCATTTTCTGAAAGTAAAACAAGAATATTAGAAAAACTGTTTCCAGGAAAGGCGTAAAGCTACACAGAGAAACCCTGTCTCGAAAAACCAAAAAAAAAAAAAAGAAAAACTGTTTCCTTCCAATAAAATTCTGTGGTTCTACAGAGTTGGAATCTATGGTCTTAAAGGAGAAATACCCCGAGAACTAAATAAATAGCTGTCTTTATTTAATGCCTGTGCGAAGAAGAGCCTAGCCTAGGTTTCTTCTAACATGCCACAGCGTTCAGCACAGTAAAGACAGAGAAGATCTGACTTGCGCTGGAGAAGGAGCCCAGGCCCAAGGCTGACTTTTTTAATAGAGTGCCTCTGCTTTACAAGCAGAGCTCCAACAAGGAGGACCTGGGCTATAGCTCCATGCTAACAGTGCAGCGCAGCGCAGCATCTGGGAGGCCTGTGGTTCCATCCTCCACACAGGGGACAAACAAGAGGAAGGAGGAGGGGCTGGAGACGGCTCAGCGGGTGAGAGCACTGGCTGCTCTTCCGGAGGACCTGGGTTCAATCCCAGAACCCACACAGCAGCTCACAACCGTCTGTAACTCCAGTTCTAGTCTGACAGCATCACACAAGACACACATGCAGGCAAAACTTCAATATACATAAAATAAAAATAAATAATTGCCGGGCGGTGGTGGCGCACGCCTTTAATCCCAGCACTTGGGAGGCAGAGGCAGGCAGATCTCTGTGAGTTCGAGGCCAGCCTGGTAAGATCCAGGACAGGCACTAAAACTACACGGAGAAACCCTGTCTCAAAAAACCAAAAGAAAAAAAAAAGTAATTAAAAGAAAAAGAGGAAGAAGGCAGGCATTTCAATGAGAAAAGTGAACCTGGGAAATGCCTTTTGGTCTAATACTATCATCAATGCATGGCTCTTAAACTTCATGTTCAACTTTGTTGGCGTATTAAATGTACACTGTACATTTACCCCCAATCCCCAAGAGCACTTACGATTTGAAGCTTGATTGTTTTCCCATCTAACTCTATAGTCCGGATCTTGAAATCCACACCGATCGTGCTGATGTAGCTTTCCGTGTACGTGTCATCCTGAGGGAGAGTTAAGGAGAGCAATGTCCGACAGAGAAAATGTTACAGTTTCCCTGCATTACACTCAAAGTTCATGAACGAAGTTTTTAACAGCTGACTCTATCATGCTTTGTATTCTAAAGCAAAAATGTTTCTTTTTTCCTTGGGATGTTTTCCAAGTGTTCTTTATTTTTTGTACGCATCTCTTGGTAAATTCTTTACATAGGTCAGGAAGAATCTGTAACTGTCAGAGCTCCCGACTCAGATACATGCGTTTTCCTAATTGCCAATCAGTCAAACTCTTGCTCCTCAAACCCAATCCACTGACCACAGAACAACGCTCACTTCACTCTCCTCTTAGGGATGTATTCCAGTCTGTTTCACATCCTGGTTGACACTTTTTTTTTTTTTTTTTAAAGATTTATTTATTTATTATGTATATAGCATGTATGACTGCAGGCCCGAAGAGGGCGCCAAATCTCATTTCAGATGGTTGTGAGCCACCATGTGGTTGCTGGGAATTGAACTCAGGACCTCTGGAAGAACAGCCAGTGCTCTTAACCTCTGAGCCATCTCTCCAGCCCCCTGGTTGACACTTTTAACTGAAATACAATACACATGAAAATCCGTCTTTCCGTGTGCAACTCAGTGGTTCTTAGTAAACGCACAAAGTCATACAACTGTTACCATGACTTAATTCCAGACTGTTCCATTCCCCCTCAAAGGAACTTTGTACTCCTTTGCATTTTGTGCTTCCTTCTCTCCTTCAGATCACGGCAACCATCAATCTATCTACTCTCCCTGGAGCTTTGCCTATGGGAACACTCATGGAATAAAGTCTTCAGAAGTGACTTCTTTCCTTCTGTTTTCAATGTTCATCCACACTGGTGCATGTATGAGCACTTAATTCTTTTCCTTTAGACAGGGTCTTGCTATGTAGCCCTGGCTAGCCTCAGACATGAGCCTTCTACTTCAGACTTTGGAATGCTGGGATTAGGCAGGCCCCACCTTACTCAGATTAATATTTATTTAAATATATATATATATATATATATATATATGTATGTATGTATGTATGTATGTATGTATGTATGTATGTATTACTTTAGTAGGTTGGGCATGGTGGCACACACTTTTAATCCCAGCACTCAGGAGGCAGGGACAGGCAGATCTCTGTAAATTCAAGACCAGCCTGGTCTACAATAGAGAGTTCAGTAAAAGTACACAGTGAGACCCTGTCTCAAAAAATTTTTTTTAGTGTAAGTATGTGGACGGGTGCATGCCGCACACAGTATGTGCATGTGAAGGTCCCAGGACAATCTCTGGCAGTCAGTCGGCTCTCTCCTTCCATCACGTGGTCCTGGGGATCAGACTCGGTCATCAGACTTGGCGGTGGCAGGCACTTGTACCTGCTGATTTATTTCACCAGCCCTACTTCTTTTTTTTCAACCACATTCTTTTTTTGCAGCTGAATAAAATCCCATTGACATTTTTTATGAAAGAATTGGGTAGTTTCCACTTGGGGGTCATTATAATAATACATGATCATTTCCTTAATCATCATGTTGCTTGTCAATTTTTTAACCCAATGTTTCTCTTTTTTGGTAAGTGCCAGTAATCCTAGTACTTAGGAGGCTGAGGTAGAAAGATCACTGAAAATTTGAGGCCAATCTGGTCTAGGGAATTAATGGCCAGCTCAGGATACATAGTAGTGAGGCTCTATCTCAAAAGAAAGAACTCAACCTTTAATCCAGCGCTGGGAGGCAGAGGCAGGCAGACCTCTGTGAGAGGCCAGTTTGGTTTACACAGTGAGTTCTAGGACAGCCAGGACTACACAGAGAAACTCTGTCCCGAAAAACCAAAAAAAAAAAAAAAGAAAAGAAAAGGAAAAGAAAAAGGACGAACTCACGGGCTCTTAAGCCGGCTCAGAGAACAAAAGTGCCTGCCTCCAAGCCTGATGCCTTGAGTCCAGCCCCTGGGCCCCCCTGGTGAAAGGTGGGAACCAGTCATGTACACTGTCCTCTGACCTTCACACCTGCTATTGTGCTTGGGGGGGGGGGCAGCGGTGCACGCCCACCCCATGCACACAAACACATAAAACAAGTCACTATTTTCAAAGAAAAAACACCAGAATGGAGACTAAGCATCCCTGAACTGCAAAGCAACACCTAGGAAGTTCTCTGCCAACAAAGAAAGACCTCGGCTTCATCGATGGGAATCTGAGAACAGCACTGATAAACTCAACTTTCTGTGGCAGCCAATGTGGTGGCCACCAGCCCCACGTGGCTTGTGACATGAGGAACTAAATGTAAAGATCTTTTCCAAATTTCAATTAAAGTTAAAAAAAAAAATTAGAGAAGTAAGTACTAGAGCTGTAGAACTTAACCTGAGTTACAGAAGGCACATGTGACCATCAGCATGTTTCTCTCCATGCTATTGAAATGTGGCTCAGGATTTCTTTTCATGTCACTGTCAGAAGGCCACGTAGCCCACATTCTCTCTCCACCTCTATCGGCATCAGTCAGAATTCTACAACAGGTATCAGACACTGACTTCATCATCACACTTCACTGCTTCACTGAATTTCTTTCTTGGCTTTGTTTTTTTCCTTCCTTCCTTCCTTCCTTCCTTCCTTTCTTTTTTCTTACTTGTTTTTTTGGGCTGACTGACTTCAAGCCCAAAGTGACCCTCTTTCACCTCCCAAATGGAGAGATGACAGGAATGCACTACCACACCCAGCTTTCCCATGAACTTCTCTTAAAAACATTTATTTAACAGTCCAAGACACCACTGGGGGTAGGGTTTGGGAGCCCTTAGATGCATAAATTCTGAAAGTTAAGTCATTCTATGTAAAATTGTTTAATTTTTGTCTAACTAGAAAACACACTGCACTAATTGTACAATTAAGTTCACCATTAATTGTAAAAAAAAATTCAATTTCAACTTACTGCAAACCTGAGGAGGAGGCAAGACTTTCCAACCCCAGAATCACCAATCAGAAGTAACTTGAATAAATAATCACTGCAAAAAAAGGAGGAAAATCACATTAATAAAAAGCATGTTAAGTTCTACAGGAAACCAGAGTAACAACAAACAGCTTGTAATGAAGACTACAGCTCCTGACAAGGTCTGTGTGTGGCTTAGCAGAAGCCAAAACTAGATCCACCAGCAGCCCTTTGATACACAGCTGAACATGTGTGAATTACCCACTCAAGTAAGGCAGGCAGGCAGTGCCACCCAAGATCTCTCAGGAGTGAACTTCCTCTTCCAAGGAAACAGTGATAGGAAACACGTGATTCCTATTCTGAGGGGGCTGCGGAGACTTACACTAATTAAATCCCAGTCCTCTACCCTATGAGACTAAGGAAGGCTATGCTCCATGCAGTAAAATTAGCCTCTTCTGGCTTAGTGCCCCATGCCTGTAGTCTCAGCAAACTCTTGAGAGGTGGGGCAGGAAAGTCTTGAAATTAAGGCCACACTCAGCTACATAACATAATAGGGCTGGCATGGAATACATGGGCCCCTGTCTCAACAAATCAAACACCTCTCCTTCAAATTCAAAGACCAAACTATTCACTGTGCAGAGCAATCCTCTAGTGAAATAATTTCTATGATCCTTTCCTACAATCTAGGTCTACCGTTCCTCTTTTTAAAAAACAAAAAAGCACTGTAGGCTGGAAAGATGGCTCAAAGGTGAAGAGCACTGGCTTCTCAGGCAGAGGACCTAGGTTTGATTCTCAACACTCACTCCCAAGACGCTCACAACCACCAGTACTCATTCAGTCCCGGGGGATCTGATGCCCTCTTCTGGCCTCTCAGGGCACTGCATTACATGATCCACAGGCATCACAAGGTGTTGCTGGATCGATCTCTCTGTACCAATGGGGTTGCATTGAATAACTGTGCCTGTTTCTGCTTTCTGCTATTAATTTGGCTCTTTTAACTGGATTACCAAAGATGAATGGCTGAACCGGGCTTGTTGGGGCAACCCAGGGCACAAGCTCTGATTCTGATCCCAGTAACACCACTGCTATGACTAACTCAGAAACCATCACTACATGATATCTTCAATGACCTGAAGACAACAGATTATCTGTCCACTGTCTCCCAAAGGAATCTCTCAGTCCTTCATAATTCTGACCATTTCCATAATCTAAGCACTTTCAAAAGGAGTCCCTCCAACAAGACTTTACATATATATTTTTAGAATGTACAACTGATTTCTAGCTTTGTGATTTAATTTCAGAAAAAAATATCTACTAATCTATTAAAATTAAAATTTTTATTATAGAAAGTATAATTTCAATGTAAACAAGACACACAACTTTTAGAGACAATTATCTTTGTGGTTATTCAAATTATTACCTATCTCTATTTGCAGAGTGGTATTACTTAAACACCTTTTTTGTTTTATCAGATTAGCACAGTAGACTTATTCCTAAATGTATCTGAGCAAAATAATTAAAAAAAAAAATCCAACCTGTTAGTCAGCAGAAAAACAGAAACCAAAGAAGGAAATAAAAATTTTCTAAAAACTAAACCAGGACGGGGGTGTTACAGTTCAGCTGGCAGAACACAGGTCTAGCACACATGACGGTCCTGTGTTTAATCTCCAGCACATCGTACATAGCTGCACATGTCTCTTAATTCCTGCACTTGGGAGGTGGAGGCAGGAGGATTAAAAAAAAAAAATCATGGCTGGAGATGTCTCGGTGGTTAAGAACACTGGGTGCTGTTCCAGAGGACCTCAGGTGAAGTTCCCAGCACCCACATGGCAGCTCCCAACCATCTGTAACCCATCAGGCCAGGGGATCTGATGCTTTCTTCTGGACTCCAGGGCACTAGGCATGCACGTGGTACACAGGCATACATGCAAACACAACACTCATAGACATACAAGTCATTAATAAAATGTTTTGCATCAGTAAAGGAGGGCTGGATATGTACAGCTCAACAACAGAGTATTGCCAGGCACATGCCAGACCCTAAGTTTCATGGCCAGGCCTTTTACAAAAGAAAAAGACAAACAAGTTGTTGAAATTTAGTAATCAATCTGAGCTTTCCAATTCTCTGAAGAAGCACACCCTCCATCAGCTGTACAGAGTCCTCTTACCATAAAGGACTGAACTGGGCCACAAATAATGCCTGAGGTATCGCTGCCCTAAGGGTTAACTACTTCGATTTATTGCAGCACAATCACAAGAATGGAACATACATAAATAAACACTCCTAACTGTGTTTCTAGCTATAGCATCAAGAAATTAAGAGTCAGACTGGAAAAATAGCTCGGCAGTTAAGAGCATGGGCTTAATTTTTCCAAAGGACCTGGGTTCAATTCCCAGCACCCACATGGCAGCTCACAACTGTCTATAACTACAATTTGAGGAGCTCCAACACCCTCACACAGACATCATGTAGGGAAAATGCCAATGCACATAAAATAAAAATAAATTATTTTTAAAAAATTGAGTCAACTTTTAAAACTATCATTTAACATATTCTAAAGTTTTGAAAAAGTTATTTTTGAGCACGGACTTTCAAGTAATTTAAAATCATTACAGAAGCTAAGGTTGGTGGTGCCTGCCTATAATCCTGTTCTCTGGAAGCTGAGGTAGCAAGACTGCCACCAGTTCAAGGCCAGCTTGAGTTACCTTGGAGACCCTGTTGTCTCAACACAACAAAACAAAAACCAACCAATCAGCCAGGCAACCAAAATGGAGGTATTATTAAAGAGTCTGGCTTCTAAGCCATCAGCTTTACTAGCAAACAGTGGCAATGAGTAAGAAAATTACAACCATCTTTACTCTGGCTAAAAAGGAGGGAAAGGGGGAAAAAGGATACAAGATAACTCTTAGGGCTCTCTCAAAGGCAAAGCCAGGAAAATTTGAGCCATGAAGTATACATAACCACATTTTGGATTATAACTCAAATAATAAATATATAAATTCTGGTAGAAATAGTTCAGTAAATAAATTAGAGAAATAACTCAGATTTATTGTCTTTCCATGTGCATATAGAAGAAAAACAGAAAATAAGTAGATCACTAAATGAGGAAAAACTATAGATGAAGTTAAAATTAGTGGGTAGAACTTAAAGAAAAAAATAAGGTATCTGTGTGGTCTCAAATTATATCCTGCCGAGTATTTACTGCACTGGTGGGTTTTGTTGTTGTTTGGGAGGCACTTCTATGAAACATGGTCTCATGTAGCAAAGGCTACCCAAGAACTTTTGATCACCCTGCAAGTGTTGGGGTTATAGCCACGCACCACACCTGGCATTACATTGGTGCTTTAAAAATACTCCATCCAGTAACCTTTTATTTTATTTTTGGTTTTTCGAGACAGGGTTTCTCTGTGTAGCTTTGGAGCCTGTCCTGGAACTAACTCTGTAGCCCAGGCTGGCCTCGAACTCACAGAAATCCGCCTGCCTCTGCCTCCCGAGTGCTGGGATTAAAGATGTGCACCACCACCGCCCAGCCCAGTAACTGTTTTAAGTCCATCTTGCCCTTGAGTATGGGCTGTACATTAAATCTGGTGGTTAGCGTCTAATAAAGTAGAGAAAGAGGGAAAAGGTAACTTCAGAAGGGCACTAGTGTTAAAAGGGACTAGTAATTCTCCCAAAATAAAGCCACCAGAATAGCCAGTTATAAATCCAGCAATAATATCACCAGAATGATGAGTAAAATATCATATTGATATCATATGCCTTCTGATATAATGCAATGAATAGATCACTAACTTCTGTGGTTTCTCTGGCATTTTCCCCAAATCTATAACCCTAATCTAATAATGAATTAACTAGATAAATTAATTATACTTGTAATTCCAGCACTTGAGAGGCAGGCCAACCTGGTCTACATACTGAGCTCCAGATCAGCAAGGGCTACATAGTATGATCCTGTCTCAAAAAGGGGGCGGGGGGGGGGCCTGGAAGGTGGCCCAGCAGTTAAGAGCACTTGACTGCTCTTGCAGAGAACTAAGATTCTGTTCCCAGCACCCATGGCACAGCTCAGAACCATCTGTAACTCCACTTCCTCTAGGGGATCCAACACTCTCTTCTGGCCTATGCTGGTATCAGGAACACATGTGGTGCATATACATACACATCAAATAAAAACCAATCTTTAAAAAAAAAAAAACAAAGCATCAGACAAATGTCAAGTAGAGAATAGTCTAAGCACACTTCAAGGATATCCAAATCAGGGTTGAAGATAGCTCATCGGACAAAATGCTTGCCTAGCTAGCATGCATGAAGCCCTGGGTTTAACCACCAGTACTACATAAGCCCAGGGTAAAGGCACATGCCCATACTGGCTGCAATCCTAGCCAGCAGAAGGTGGAGAAAGTAGGACCATAAACTCATGGACAGACTCAGTTCCACAGAGAGCTTGAGGCCAGCCCTAGATACAAGAGACCTGTTTTGGGGCTGGAGAGATGGCTCAAGGATTAACAGGATACACTGCTCTTTCAGAGGATGAGTTTGGATCCCAGCACCCATGTGGTTCACAACCACCTCTAACTCCAGCTCCAGGGGGATCCCATGCCTCAGTCCTCCATGGGCACTAGCATTCATATACAAATATACACACAGAGATATACATATATGTAGATAAACTAATAGAGCAATGGCTTAGTGATTAAGAGCACCAGCTGCTCTTCCAGAAGACCTGGGTTCAATTCCCAGTACCCACATTGTAGCTTACAATCATCTATAACTACTTCCAGGGAATCCAATTCTTCGGGCCTCTGTGGGCACCAGCCACGCATACAGACATATATGCAGGCAAAACACCCATACACATGAAAAATAAATAGATAAATAAATTTAAAAAGAGGAAGCTGTCTCAAAAAAAAAATATTAATTGCCAAGATCATTAAGCCAAGCATAGTGACACATACCTATAATCCTAGTACTCTGGAGTCAGCAACAGAATGCTCTCCTACAAGTTTCCAGTCTGGTCAACATAGCAAGCTCCAGGCCAACAATGACTACATAAGCAAGATCCTGTCTCAAAAACACAA